AGCCATGCTGGCTGGGGAATTCTGGGAATTGGAAGTCCACACACCTTAAAGTTGCTAAGATTGAAAAACACTGATCTACAGGATGGCACCAGATGGACATGGCATTCCAGTGTTTTCAGCAATACCCTCCCCTCTTTTCTCAGCACTCTTTGCCTGCAATGTTTACTGTCTAAAATCAGAAATTCCAGCTTTGCAATCTTTGCAACTTCAACCTGTTTTAATACTCCCTTGAGATCTGGGTTAGCTCCCCTCGAATACACCCAGCTGACTCAGTGGTTGTGTTCACACCACACATTTAACCAGGCTGCATAAAGGCCCATTGACTCCATGGTTCATTTTAAGTTGATTTGTTGTTGATTTTGTGTGGCCTTTTTTAAATTTATTTATTGCATTGTACTCTTGCGTTAGCTTCCAGTTTACTGCTTGGCACTAACCTAGGAAATGAATTACTGTAACCCAGTCATCAGATCAAATGTTTTGTGAACCAAGCCAGTGTTGATTTCTTTCTTGGGAGTGGGGGAAAGACTGAGGGCTCTTCCTTTTTAAAAAAAAAATACTACATCTAATGAGCAACATGAATGATCAGCTCCAAATGTTCATATATAATAATGATCAGCTATAAATATATATATACTATCATATATACAATAATAATAATGATCAGCTCTGGAAAAGAAGCAATCAAAGACATCAGAAGCAAATCCCGTTGTATTCAAGGAGGTGAACAGATTTGCATAGAATTACAAACTTCCCCATTGGAGGGAACATAAACTGACAACGAGGGCATTCAACAGCAAACCATCATTCTCTCAATCCCAGGTCAGGTCAGCAGGCAAGATGAAAACAGGGACTAAAGGAGGCCACGGGTCTGAGCTGGACTGCTGTGAAGCTGGCAGCCCTTGGCTACACCAGGCCACGTAACAGGCCAGGCAGACCTGGGGATTGGGTTGCATTCCCTGCTTTTTCCAGCTGCTCCGGGGGCTGTGGCAGAGAAGCAACTCCCTGGGTCTCCCTTGCCTCCTACCTGCTGGGGGGCACCGAGTGGGACATGCTTTCTTTGGGCCGGGCCTGTGAGTGTCCCCCAAGCACCCAGCCAGCAAAGGGGCAAGCTGGCATCTTCAGATGCAGCTGGTTTCTTAGGGCAGAGGCTGCTTTGCATAGCTGTCCACCTGGGGTGGGGGTGGGGAGGAGATACACAAAACAGGAGTCCCCTTCTTCTCTCCCCACAAAGCTGGGAATGCAGAGAGCTGCCATGCGGCTTGGCACCAGGATCCGGTTCCCACTTCCTTAAGGCAAACACCGTCCCTGGTTCCCTCCGCTGGCTAGGCTAGGTACCAAACACTTGGGCTGCAGAGGACTTACGGCCCCCCCTTCTGTCGGAAACGGATGCCAAGGTCTTCTGTTCCCCACCAGGTTGGGTGCACGGGGGGCATCCAGGCAGTTGAGGCCCTGACTGCTCCTTGCTAGATACCACATGGGTCAAGAGGGTGGATATGGAGTTGCACAAAGGCCGGCTTCTGGTCCCTCCCCGGCCATGATCTTCCCCCATTCCTCCTCCTCCTCCCACTGACCAGGAAGCCATTTCCACCACAGCCCACCCCCGGGCTCCGGAGGTGCCCCCCACCACCCCGAAGCCCAGATCAAACGTCTGTCATCTCGTCTTCCAGCTCCGCACCATCGGGCTCCCCTTCGGCTTCCTCCTCCTCTTCCTCCTCCGACGTCACATCTGGGTCATCAGCTTGAGCCAGGCACTTGGGGCAGGAGCAGATGAACAAGTAGTTTTCCCTAGGGAATGGGGAGGCGGGGGGAGGAGGAGAGAGACGGGAGAACTTCAGGGTGCTGAAGATCCACTGGGAGCGAGAACACTACACGTCATGTAAAAAAAGTGAATTTGCACCATCAGCGGTGCACTAGTGTAGTCACAGCCCTACTTCCTTTAGATCAGTGTTTCTCAAACTTGGCCGCTTTAAGATGGGTGGACTTCAACTCCCAGAATTCCCCAGCCAGCATGGGGAACTCTGGGAG